GCATAAACGAGTAGATGCGTCATCTGCCATTTTGCGGAATGTTTCTTTGAGTGACGACAAAGGCGTTGGCACGGTGTCCGTTTTCCCGCGTGACTTGGGCCACAGAGAACGGAAGCGCGACTCCCCGAGGCCACCCGAACCTTGCCAGTCTCACCTGGTGAAACCAGGATGTCGCTGCCGACCGCATGGACCGAAGACAGCCCAGAGACACCGCCGGGCCGCCGCGTGCCGGCCGGGGCTCTCCTTGCCGGTCCCGAAGGCAAGAGGCCAGCGGCCACCTTGACAGTAAGACCCGCGCCCTTCCGCCAGCCAGGCCCCCGCGGCCGTCTGACGGGTGAGGGCGGTGACCTGGCGAAGGCCCTCGTCAGAGACGGTTTCATCTGGCCCTGAATGTCCCGCAGCTGGCGCAGGTGCCGGCCGGGCCAGAGGGAGCTGGGGCCGCCCTGGCCCTCGCCGCGCAGCTCACAGCCCCAGGACGCGTCCCCAGCGTTCCCCGGAGTCCAGCCGCCCGTTGCCACACGCTTCCTCCCGGCCAGGGAAACAGAACCGTCCCCACAGCACGACCATTGAGCCCTCGTGAGAAAAGCCGCAGGCTGGAGGCCGCAGTGGTGACCCAGACGGGAGCCTGGGTCGCAGCCGGGAGAACGCGGCTCCGTCGCACAAACGACCCAAACCCACTCCCGGCGTTTACACCTCCGCGGGCTGCAAAGGACTTTCGGCGCCTCTGCCCGTCCTGGAACCCGCCCTGCGAAGCCGGGCCCCAGAGGGGAGGGTGACTCGGGGGCCACCTGCCTGGCTGCCCGGGCCTGGCCACCCGGTAGCGACCCCCGCCTGGCACGGCACCCGCGGCGCGCAGGCTCCGAGTGAGGTCACCAAGGGAGACCCGAGGCGAAGCGGTTCATTTTCAGCCCAGTATTTGGAAGCTGGATTTGTTTGGGGGCCATTAATTGGGGCGGGGTGGGGGTCGCTTTAAAATTGAAGATGAGACACCAAAATGCTGTTTTAACCGGACTAACCTTAAGCAGTGGAAGTCACCGCAGTCACGCGGGTCTCGCCGCTGAAGCCTCGCCTGGCCGACTCAGCCTCGGGAGCCAGCCGTGGCCCTAAAAAGGCTGAGCCCACCTGGGCGCCCGCGGGCGGGGCCAGGCTCACCTGTGCCCGGGTGCAGGGCGGGACCAGGCTCACCTGTTGGGGGTGCAGGGCGGGACCAGGCTCACTGTGTGGGGGGTGCAGGGCGGGACCAGGCTCACTGTGTGGGGGGTGCAGGGCGGGGACCAGGCTCACCTGTGCGGGGGTGCAGGGCGGGGACCAGGCTCACCTGTTGGGGGTGCAGGGCGGGACCAGGCTCACTGTGTGGGGGGTGCAGGGCGGGGCCAGGCTCACCTGTGCGGGGGGTGCAGGGCGGGGCCAGGCTCTCCTGTGTGGGGTGCGGGGCGGGGCCAGGCTCTCCTGTGGGGGGGGTGCAGGGCGGGGCCAGGCTCACCTGTGCCGGGGTGCAGGGCGGGGCCAGGCTCACCTGTGCGGGGTGCAGGGCGGGGCCAGGCTCACCTGTGCGGGGGTGCAGGGCAGGGCCAGGCTCACCTGTGCGGGGGTGCAGGGCAGGGCCAGGCTCACCTGTGCGGGGGTGCAGGGCGGGGCCAGGCTCTCCTGTGCGGGGTGCAGGGCGGGCTCAGGCGGCCCCAGCCAAACAGACAAAACCAAGGGGAGTCTCTTCGCTGTCCCTCATGGGGGACTCAGACCCTGTGCACTGGCTTCCGGGGTTTGCCACCTTCAGCAGCGCCCGGTGGCCGGAACGCAGGCCCGCGGGAGTCTGGGCCAGCTGAGGGCCTGGATGGCGGGGACAACGGCCTCCCCCGGCACGAGGCACCGTTTAGCCTGTGCACTCAGTGTTGGGAGGAGACCTGGCTGCTGAGACGAGCGACCACGACCACAACCAGCACCCAGACAGCCCGCGGCGTGTGCGGTCGGTGTTATCGGGCTCCGGCTCCGCCTGCGAAGGGCTGTGGGACGGGATTGCTGCGTGTCGAGAAAAAGGCCTGCAGTAAGAGGCTTGCTTTTAAGGTGTCCAAACCACTCACAGTGGAAAGTTCACTGAGATTTTATTCTAATGCTGGGAAGGGAGCTCGGAGACGGGCTGGGACGGGGGCGGGCGCCACACGTGGCGCCGATGGAGGCGGGAGGCCCCGCAGCAGACTCGGATGATTTGCGGAAAATCTAAGCCACCTGCTCTGCGGCTGGCACCCTCGGCCCCCTCCCCCACCCCGGCGTCCACACAGCGCCCCTGGCCCCCGGGACCCGGGGCTGGGGGCGAGAAAGGAGCCTGATCCTGGCCTGCCACCACGGGAGGCCGTGGCAGCGGGGAGGCGACTGCCAGAAGCGCGACACTGATGGCTCGGGCCAGCCAGGCCCGCGCTCACGGCTTCACACTGATGATCCCACGCATCATCTCACTGCCAGCGCAGCAGCCCCGGTCATTCTGTTTTCCAGATGAGGAGTTGAGACTAAGAAAAGCAGCACACCTGGCACCTGGTGTCGCAGGCCTTGGGGACAGCAGGAGTCCTGTGCCCCTTGCCCCCAGGCAGGGCCGGCCCCCCACAGATGGATGTGGCCTGCCCGGCCCTGCGGGGCGTCCACTGAGGGGACACTGGCCCCCGCGGGGCTCAGGCCTGCAGACCACGTGCTCAGGCTGGTGACTGGAGGGAGCCTGGGAGAGTCCCTCCCGCCTGGGACATCCCAGGTCACATTCACCCAGGGCTCATGTAACAAGGACAAAACATCTGACACGGCCAACCTCTACCCTCCCTCAAATAAAAAGGGGAAAGTTCTGGAAGGAAAAGGGAAGAGTTACTGGGCTGGTTGTAGTGAGCGAGGCCCGAGGCCAGCAGCCCAGAGCAGGAACCAGAGCTGGGGGTGACACGGGTGGTGTTCCCTCAGGGGACCCAGAGGGCAGCGCTGTGGCTTTGGTACCACCCGTGTTCACTGCTTCCCCCTGGAGAAGCCCTCGCTTTCCCACTGTGGCCTGGAGTGGCTGTTGTCACCTGCCTCTGAGCTGGGTGCTGTTCTGGAGCCCACACGGGTCCCTTCGCCCAGGCCAGCCCCTGGTCCTGCCTCAGCCCCACTCCTCAGCCCCCGAGTCCCCAGGAGTGGGGACGCCTGGGGGACGGGCCCCTTCCTGGAGGCAGAGATAGGCAGTGGCAAACCAGGCCAGAGCCTCCCCTGCAGGAACGAGGAGGACACGGGCGGGTCAAGGGTTCCACTGCCGGTCACATGTCCTACCTGAAAGCCCAGAAGCTTGTGATGGGATTCTGGGGGCGTGTGACAGAGAAACCGGGTTCAAGGTGCACAGGGAAAACAGGTGACCTAACGGCAGGATGCTCAGAGTGTCGAGGCTGCACAGCAGACAGGACTGAGGCTGGGCTCAGAGGCAGGAGGGCTGGGACAGTCTCTCTCCTCGTCCCTCTGAGGGTACCAGTTTTATTCTCGGTGCTTCACCACCCACGCGGCCAGCAGCAAATGCGATCCCCACCTCCTGGCCCACCAGCCCCGGGACGGAAGTTCGGGGAAGCAGCTACTGCGCCCGAGCCGTCCTGTGACTGGCTCGGCTTCGCGAGTTGCTAGGGAGAGGGTGGCGGGCAGTGCTGGGGCCACATGACAGTGCCTGCTGTCCCCTCTCCCGTCCCGGCCAGGCAGGTGCCGGAGCTGCCGTTCAGTGACTCGGGCAGTCCAGTGGCCACCAGGGCACCAGCGAGACATGTCAGCTGGTGCGGCTTGAGCACCCCTTAATCTGAAAATCGCAACTGGCTCAATCCATGAGCCAAAACTTTTTGCATTGCCAACGTGACACAGCGGAAAATTCCGCACCCGGCACCTTTGCTTTCTGATGGGTCAATGTACGTACACTTTGTTTCATGCACAAAATTCTAAAAAATATTGTATTAAATTACCTTCTTCCTATAAGGTGTATATGAAACCTCATGAATTTCATAGTTAGACTTAGGTTCCCTCATTAAGGGATATGCAGATATCCAGGATACCTCATTAAGTATGCAAATATTCCCAAATCGGAAAAAAATCCAAAATCTGAAAACACTCCTGGTCTCAAGCGTTTCAGATAAGGGGTATTCAACCTGTAAATTTGCAGTTTGTTCAGTTTTCAACTGCTCTTTGTGGAACCAGGGAGCCCGTCAGCTCCTGCCTTTGTCATCCAGGGCTCGGGGCTCACCTGGCCCCATGTCCCCCTGCGTGGACGGAAGCTCACACTGCGACCTCTGCCACCCACACCTTCCTCCCAGAAACTGACCTCACTGCAATCTTCAGAGCAAAATGGCATCTTTACAGACACTTTGTCAGATCGCTTCCCTGCTCTGGCTCTCTTCATGTTTTTCAAGTTTAAGCTGCACACATCCAACTATCTCCACGCCCTGAGGAAAGGACAGAAGATTTAAAGAGGGATGCTTAGCTGATGGGGACAGTTCAGACACAACCTGAACGACTTCAGCAGAAATAGCACAAAATAGTGATTTTTAACACATTCGAAAAGAGGCCCGGGTTTCATCAGTTCCTATCTGCATGTTCTCTGGCAATTCAGCTGGGAACGAATTTCTACCAAGCAGCCCAAACTTAGAGTTTATTGCCATATGTCCTTGGTCATTTAGACTTTTTTTTCCTAAATACACTTAACCAGTTAAGATAATCTCGCATGGATCCTCGCCAGCTCCAAACCAAGCTGGGGGTTTTTCCCCCCAGGCGACTTCACCCTGCCGCTCGGCCTCCGATGACGACACTAACTGCTGTGTTCCCGGGTCACGGATTTTAGAGGAAGACATTACGTCTGAATTCTTCCACATCCTTCGCTTATATGTTTCCCTCAAAAGCACACAGCTGCCCGACTGTTCGAAACCACTCTTTGTTCCCCAGAAAGTAAGCTCTGCAGGGATGAGGGGTAATCTGCCAAATACCCAGATCGCTTCCCGCCCCCCCCAATGTGTGTTTAAACAGCATGGCACAACATTTATTATTTATTGTTTTTACTAAGGCACATGACGTATAGAAATACTGAGGTACAGAATGCAAATTTCTGCAAAAGATTTGTAAAATACTCATTTTGGAAAATGGAGGTGGACATCATCTTCCAGAATATTCAGCTCTTAGCTTGTTTTTTCTTTTGGACCAGTTCAACCAGCAACTTGTACCTAGCGATACAGTCTTCCTGTGGGGAGAAAAAAAAAAGAGAGGTGAGAGCAGGCGCCTCCCCAAGCCCGTGTTGGCTTGGGCCCAGTGCTAACGAAGGGGGCACTCCATGTCCGGTCCCTTCACCCAGAACCTCCTGGAGTTTCCTGGCCGCTCGCTTCAGGTCTCTGCTGCCTGGAGCTGGCACAGGTGGGCTGGACTCAGGGGACTCAGGCTGAAGCAGACGTGGGTGGTGGCGGGGCGGGGCCTCCTTATTCTCATGTGGATCACAAGGTACTTTCCAGAATCCTTTCTGTTTCTGTTTGAAAAATACTAGCTCTGTGATACCCTAAGCCTTTGATGACTAAGATCTAGAGCAAAGTGACTTCTGCTCTAGGGCGGGTGGCTTTACTGGCTGTCCTGGTTAGCGCAGGGATGTTTGCTGTCTTCCTAGGACCTCGGTGGGGTCAGGAGCGTCTTCTAACTGGTGGCTTTTCTGCCCTCCCGAAGATCCACGTGCCTAACTAACTACGGTCTGTAACAAGCCTAGCCTGTCTTCGTAGCTCTGCTGTCCTAGTGGCACGAAACCGGATGCAGCCAGACCTGCACTCCATCCTCAGAGGTCTGAGCTCGGAGCAGCCGGCCCTGGGCCTTAAGGGAGCACCCACAGGCCACCACGCATGCGGTCCCAACCCCCAAGGCCATGGCTGTCCCACTGTTATCCTCAGGAACCCACGCGCCAGCGCCTTCCTCTCCAGCCAATGTCCGTGCGCCACACATGCAAACGCCTGTGTCCTGCAGATGCCAGAGAAATTCAGGGAAAATAATGACTTCCGGCAAACCAGTCAGAGAGGCTGGGAGAATCTGTGCTTCCCAAAGAGATCAACGGCTAACGGTTTATTTCTCTCCCCAGGAACTCTCAACTTTCATCATTTTAGAGGAGGCGACAGATAACTAGGCCCGTACACTCAGGGACACGCACGGCCACGAGCTAGATTTTCCAACACAGAATTTCAATTAAAAAAAATAAGAATGCAAACGAGCAGCCGTGTGCCCGGAGGCTGCGGCGTGACAGGCACAGAAGGCAGGAGAGACGGGTTCTTTGGATTTCTCCGGTTCCTGGTGCCGCAGACTAGGATCGCAGCCCCGGAGACGGTTTGTGTCATAAAAGCCGGAGTGGAAAAGATCTCACCCTGAAGCTCCACGGCTCCCCACCGCCAGAGCACAGGGGGGGGACTGCCTGGGGTGGGGTGGCTCTCCACAGGGTACACCCATCTTTTCTCCTGTTTTTTTTTTAAGAGACAGGGTCTCCCTCTGTCACCGAGAGGAGAGTGCAGCGGCCTGATCATGGCTCACTGCAGCCCCAACTCCTGGCTTAAGTGATCTTCCCGCCCCAGCCTCTCAAATCGTTGTCACTACAGGTGTGTGCCACTGCACCCAGCTAATTTTTAAATTTGTTGTAGAGACAGGGGTCTTGCTATGATGCCCAGGCTGGTCTTGAACTCCTGACCTCAAGCGATCCTCCCATCTTGACCTCCCAAAGTGCTGGGCGTACAGGCGTGAGCCGCGGCGCCCTGCCTCTCTGAGTTTGTATTTGAGAACTATCTGCGGATGTATTCTAGCAGGTGCGAAGAGCTGTAAGCAGGGAGAAAAGTCACTTACAAACGGCCAAGGTTACAGAAGGGAAGCAGAATCCTAAATGTCACCTTCACCCTTGACCGCGCCCCAAAATACTGCCCGGGAGCCCCTGGGCGCCTGGGCGCTAACCCGAGTCTCGATTTGTTCCTGTGCAGAACCCAGGGGGATCTGAACGCCGCCTCCGCCGGCCAGCCCCTGCCTGCAGGGCTGTCACAAGGCGAGAGGGCCCTGTGACGCTATGGCGCCCTTCTCAGCCGGACGCAGGGAGCTTGCACCCCCAAGCCGGCTGCCTTCCTGGAGGAGGCGGCTGAGCCGAGGGGCCGCGTCACACCGCGCCTGCGCCAGACCCTGTCCCGGGAAGGCTGGCGCGCGGCTGCGCGGCTCCACTTGGGCCTGAGCCCGTCTACAGCGCGGCCGCGTGCTGCTGGGGAACTGCGCCGAGGGGCCCGGGAGAGGCGAGGGCCACCCACCTTGCTCTTGGCCGGGACACACTTGGCTATTTTGTCCCAGCGGTCGGAGGACCCCTTTGGGTACTGCTGCAACGCCAGCTCCAGAAGCTTCTGTTGGCTCTGAGTCCAGGGCTCGTCGGCCGCGCGCGGCCTCCCCCTCTCGCGGCTGTCGTCGTCGCTGGAGCCGCCGCGCGCCCGCGCGAATTCGGGCGCGCGAGGCGCTCCTCCGCGGCGGCCGCACGCGCGCCGGCTTGTCCCAGCCGCGCGCGGCGAGGACCCTCCGCTCGGCTCGACCGCCGCGGCGCGATGTCCTCGGGCAGCGCGGGCGCCGCGCTCGCCGGCAGGGCGCCCTGCACCGTGGCCCGCAGCTCCGAGAGCCGGACCGTGCCTAGGGGACAGCCGCGCAGGCGCGGGGGAGTTCAGTGACAGTGACTCGGTGACAGTGAGTTCGGTGACAGTGAGTTCAGGTGACAGTGAGTTCGGTGACAGTGAGTTCAGGTGACAGTGAGCTTGGTGACAGTGAGTTCGGTGACAGTGGGTTCAGTGACAATGGGTTTGGTGACAGTGAGTTCAGTGACAGTGAGTTCAGGTGACAGTGAGTTCAGTGACAGTGAGTTCAGTGACAGTGAGTTCGGGTGACAGTGAGTTTAGGTGACAGTGGCCGCAGCAGCAGCTGGCCGCATGCTAGGCACTACTTGATTTCATGTCACACTATTTTAGAAGGACAGGTGTCACTGCCCTGGTTCTATGATGAGGAAAAGAGGTCTCAGAACGTAGAAGAGGTGGGATTGGAAACTGGGTCTGTCTGATCCCGTCTCTGTCCTTGTCACTACTTTGAGGACAACGGGGAGACACAGGTTCAAGTTGTGGCCAAAGACTGCAACCGTCTCTTTGCTCCAGCCTGCTACCGTGCCGGCCGCCGGCAGGTAGCCGTATGAGCAGATTACACCAGTAGCTAAAGTTTTAAACATACAAAGGAAAATTGTATTAAAACGTTTTAACCTTTGGCCAGGCCTGGTGGCTCACGCCTGTAATCCTAGCGCTCTGGGAGGCCGAGACTGGCCGATCGCTCAAGGTCAGGAGTTCAAAACCAGCCTGAGCAAGAGCGAGACCCCGTCTCTACTATAAATAGAAAGAAATTAATTGGCCAACTAATACATATAGAAAAAATTAGCCGGGCATGGTGGCACATGCCTGTAGTCCCAGCTACTCGGGAGGCTGAGGCAGGAGGATCGCTTGAGCCCAGGAGTTTGAGGTTGCTGTGAGCTAGGCTGATGCCACAGCACTCACTCTAGCCCTGGCGACAGAGTGAGACTCTGTCTCAAAAAAAAAAGTTTTAACCTTTTCCTGGGACAGAATAGCTGACACAGTGCTGAAACTGCCGATGGATCAGGAGGATAAAAGGACAACGGATGCGGACAGCTGCAAAGGGAGAAACACGGACACAGCTGGCCACAGCGGCAGCGGAGCGAGGCGGGGCCACCTGGGGCGGGTACGGGCCAGCGCTGGGGAGCCAGCCCGCACCGGGCCGGGAGCGAGCGGAGCCGGCCGTGGGGCGGACACGGCACTGTCCCGCATAACCTCCTGTGATACTAGTAACCACTGGGTACCGCTGGGGAATTGAGTTTCTAACTGCATTTAATGTTAATTAATCTGAACTTTAATTTTAATCTCAATAGCCGCCTGTGGCTGTTAGCACAGTTCTAGCCTTTCTGGAGGACAATCTGTCAAATGTAGGCGAACCGTAAAAATATATTTACTTGTGATCCTACAATTTTACTTAGAGGAAGTTCTCCCAAGGAAATAATTACAGATGTCAGATGACAATTTAGCTACAAAGAGGTGGGTTTTTATATGTATTTCACTTTTTGATGTTTCCTCTTTTTTTTTTTTTACTAGTTTTAATTTAAAACTAATCCTTTGCATAATATAAAATGTAAACAGTACAAAAGAGAAAGCAGTGAAAAATCTCTTTCCAATGCCCTTTCTCAGAGGCAATAATGACTCGGTGTGAGCGGGTGGGTGTGAGCGGGTGGGTGTGAGCGGGTGGGTGTGAGCGGGTGGGTGTGAGCGGGTGGGTGTGAGCGGGTGGGTGTGAATCGTTCAGACACACAAGTCGGGTACACACGCTATAGCCGCATCTGCCTCCCCTTTCTCATGTCAGTGCCAGCATCTCTCTGGGGCCGTTCTGAATTAGCTCACATAGAGTCACACTGCTTTTAGTGACTGTGTAATAATCCACTGAATGGATATGTCACGACTTGTGTAAATAGTTCCTGGTCCCAGACTTTTGCTGTCACAAACAGGCAGCATTCCATACTCATGATCTCCATACGTTTTAGATCATGCACCCCCCCATCCATAAAACATTTTTGAATATACAACTCGAATATATGCACATTTACTTATTCACGAATTATCTGTGTACCATGGTAATGCATTAATTATAAAACACATGTGAAAAAGGGAATCAAGTTAAAGATGAAAAATAACAATCTAAAAATATCAAATGAATTAAAATTTTCATGAAAATATTAATATTAGAAACAATGAGATTGAAAAATTGTTTAATATTAGGTAAAATACTAAATTCAGTTAATTCTGAATACCAAATTCAGTTAATTCTGGCATCTGATTTTGATTTTTTTTTTTTTGGAGACAGAGTCTCACTCTGTTGCCCAGGCTAGAGTGCCGTGGCGTCAGCCTAGCTCACAGCAACTTCTAACTCCTGGGCTCAAGCGATCCTCCTGCCTCAGCCTCCCGAGTAGCTGGGACTACAGGCATGCACCACCATGGCCAGCTAATTATATATATATATATATGTATTTTTTTAGTTGTCTAGATAATTTCTTTCTATTTTTCATAGAGATGGGGTCTTGCTCTTGCTCAGGCAGGTCCCGAACTCCTGAGCTCAAACAATCTGCCTGCCTTGGCCTCCTAAAGTGCTAGGATTACAGGCATGAGCCACCGCGCCCAGCCTGGCATCTGACTTTTAATGGCTACCATAGCTGAACAGATAACTCACAAAGCTACATAGATCCAAGTGTAGCATACTGTTGGCTGTGCTCACTAATCTCTGGCATTCATTTTACAATACAAATTATAAAAAAATTTTCATAAAAATCTTCCCGAAACCAATCAATTGTTCTTATAAACTAAATGGAAAGTGTTATGCTTTTATATTTTTAACAGATTAGTTCATTTTGTTTGAAAGATTTATAGGTTAAAATTGTGTCTTCAACATTTTTTAATCCATAGAAATAAGAGTTTTAAAAAGTCACATTGTTTTGGCCACAGAATAATACATAATAAAGGAAATACTTTCAAGTGTCTATTTTCAAAATGTTCCTTCTATAGGATACATATCTTTCAAAACGATTACTTTCAAATTCATTGTTCTATTTTGTAGAAACACTTTAGTATCTGTCAGCAAATTTAGAACTTTTTCTTGGTGAAAGAAAAATGTGAAATTGACTGTCTTTTTAAAATTCCTTTTGTCTTTTTTTTGGTGATGTCTGGCTGTGTCGCCCCAGCTAGAGTGCAGTGGCATCATTGTAGCTCACAGCAACCTCAAACTCCTGGGCTCAAGCGATCCTCCTGCCTCAGCCTCCCGAGTAGCTGGGATTACAGGTGTGTGCCACCACACCTGGCCCTGAAATTGATGATCTTTAAATTCAACAACTTTTTAAAGTACTGTGTCAACACAGTAAGAAGCCTCTGTGTAATATAAAATATTCCCATCCCTGCCTTCCATTTTATTAAAAAGCCTCACTGTGATTCTATGGTTTGCTGTAAACCCACTCGGCCGGGTATTGTGTAACAATTATGTTCAAAGTGAAAGATGAGTGACGAGGCTACTTTTCCTCAGGAAACATCGGAGCCATAGGTAAGTACCCTCTGATAAGGGACAAGAGAGGGTGCTGGCATAGTCTGAATATTAACTGTGAGAAAGCTTAATTCCCTTCTCACAAAATGTCTTAAGATCAAAGTAAAAATCAGTAGAAATTCTCACATAGTGTTCCTATATTCCAAAGGATAATTTTGTGTACCCCCACTTTTGAGACCACTACTTCCTAACAATAAAAAAAAATGGAAAGAGCCAAAATGTCCAACAGCAGTGATTTTTTAAATAAATGATGTCATTTGAGGCCAGGCGCTGTGGCTCACGCCTGTAATCCTAGCTCTTGGGAGGCCGAGGCAGGCGGATTGCTCAAGGTCAGGAGTTCAAAACCAGCCTGAGCAAGAGCGAGACCCCGTCTCTACTATAAATAGAAAGAAATCAATTGGCCAACTGATATATATATAAAAAAAATTAGCCGGGCATGGTGGCACATGCCTGTAGTCCCAGCTACCAGGGAGGCTGAGGCAGAAGGATCGCTCGAGCCCAGGAGTTTGAGGTTGCTGTGAGCTAGGCTGACGCCACGGCACTCACTCTAGCCTGGGCAACAAAGCGAGACTCTGTCTCAAAAAAAAAAAAAAAAAATGATGTCATTTGTATCATAGACAACTATGTAGCCATTAAGATGATGATATAGGCATGTGACTATATGGAGAGAAAAAATATAAAACAGTATTGTAGTATGGTCCCATTCTTATTAAAATATTATATGTACGTGTGTATCAGGAAAAGTCTGGAGAAATATCTCTCTAAAAGTAAAAACTGTGTGGCTTAAAATGTGATTTTTATTTTCTTCCTCTTATTTATCTGTATTTTCTTGAGTTTCTATTAACAAACATTTCTCTCCATGTTTACTATAGCGCCTCTCATAAGAAAGGGCCAAAAGCTTGAATGTGACTGTGTTCTTATCTGTAGCAGAAGGTCATTTCGACCTTGTCCATTAGCCTATTAAACCAGCTATATTTTCCTAAACTTTCCCATTTCAAAGTCTTTGAAAGGCATCCACGATCTTAAGAAACAATTTTAGAATTTCCAATAATATTTCAGAAGCACAGTTTTAGGGCTTTAATGGATCATAACACCTCTTAGAGGCTCTCTGTTACTATCAGAAGAAATATACTTCAAAGTTCTTTAGATCTTTAAAGGCTATTAAAAAACAAAAAGTAAAACACAGAGTTCAATGAATGTATTTGTGCCAGAGACCTAGTGGTGCTTTTGGAGAGCTGCAGGATATTTGGATGTGGCCAAATATCCCACCGGTCTTGCTTTTTCCTTGTCTGTGAGCCACGACCCTGGGTCTGCCACTGACTGCAATGGGCGTGTGCCCCCCAGCCAGGTGACACCACAGAGAGACCCTAAAATGTTCAACTCCTCATTTCCTTTTGTCTCCACCAAACTTTTTACTCCCTCGACCAATGCTCCAGGAAGATCCGTGTCAGGGCGTTTCTCTGAGCCCCACTGCCTTTTCCATAGTACATTTCTGGAGAATGTCTTGGAGGCAGGCGTCTCTCACACAATATCCCATTGCCTGTCTCTGTCCCCATGCCCAGACATATAGCTGTACTAGTAGAAAAGGAAATCTGGAAATGTCCTCTTTCCTAAAATCTGGAGAACTCCACATTGAATCCTTTCTGGGATGACTTTTTTAAAATTTTTTAAATAGCACTTTAAAAAATCTTTTTTTATTATTTTTAAAAAATTTTTATTTTTTAGAGACAGGTCTCATTATATTGCCTGGGTTGGTCTTGAACTCCAGGGCTCAAGGGAATCCTCCTGCCTCAGTCTCCCAAGTAGCTGGGACTACAGGTGCCTGGCTGGGATGACTTTGAGATCTCTGGGTTGGCTAATCCCTGGCTTGTTCGAGTATATTACTCCCCCTGGCACCTGTATTTGAGTTAGGCTGGAAGATTTTAGAGGCATTTTCTTACTTCCTGGTTCCAAGCGAAGAGTATGGAGACTCTTACAAAATTCCAGTTGATCTTGGGGGAAACAGATTGTGAGACACATAAATTCTTAGGAAAGCTGCTGTCTATCCTTGTATCTAAAGAAGTTATCATAAAAAGGGACTTATTTGGAAGACACCACTGTAGATTAATGGGATAAAGTAGCTGCTAACTCACCTGGGGAGCAGCAGGTAACTGAATCCTTCAGTTGCTTGGCTTTGGTTGTCACCTGTTTCAAAACATAAAAGCAAAAACCTTACTTTCCATGTACATATTGTAGGTTGAGTGCCCTATTTTGTGTAAGGTCTATGTGAATGGATAGAGTTCACTGAATCTTAGGCCTCAGTCATCAGTCCAATCCATTAATTTAACTGACAAGGAAACTGAGGCCCAGACAGATTCAATGGCTTGCTCCAAATACCCATCTACTTAGCAGCAGAGCCAGAACAAGAACTCGGATCCCCTGAGTACTTCTAGTTCAAGAAAGTTCCATTATACTAGGCTGCCTTGAAAATATTCTAGTTTCAAAATCACTGTACAAACAGATCATTTGTGGTAAAGCTGGAATTTCCAGAAATTAAATATCTTTCTTTGTCGGAGAAGATTATACTAGTAAGCAGATACATTTACATATATGAATGTCGATCCACAGTAATAAATAATTTTATTTGGTGGTAATTCTTTTTTCTTTATCTAAATAGTACCATATTGTATGTCTCATTCTATAGCTTGCTTTTTTTCATTTAACAATGTCTTACAGATGTATATGTAGGTTTCCCTTTTAAAATAAAGATAAAATTTACAGAGTGTAATGTAGACTTTAAAGGTACAACCTGATGAGTTCTGACAAAAAAATAGACCAATGTAATCAACATCTCACACTCACTATAGAATATTCCTATCACTCCAGAAAGTTCCCTTGTGCCCCTAACTTAATCTCTACCCTGCCACAACCACTGTTCCAATTAATATTATATATTTTAAGAAATATGGAGTCAAAGTTAACTGATAATTTTTTCAAATGAATAGTTAATTACCCCAAGGCATTTATCAAACAAGCCATCCTTTCTCCATTTATTTAAAATATTAACTTTATTAAAGTTATGTTCCAATGTATGCATGGGTTATTTTTCTATACTTTTCTACTCCAGTAATCCACGTATATTCTTGAACCAACACTTCACTGCTCCAATGAAATTTGACAGCAAAACCTCAGAGCGCATGATCATTAGGAGCTTAGAATTGTACAGACATGGTATTCAATCTTGGTTCTACCTCTAGGTTTTCAGTTGAATAACCTAGAGCAATTTTCTATCCTTTCTCTGTCTCATGTATCACCCTATGTAATATGTGACTAATACCAATATTGCTAGCCTCTTAGGGATGTTTTAAGTTTGAAATAAGCTCTTAGCATGTTACCCGCGGGATAGATCATTTGTTTTCCATTCATGCAAAGGGCAGAATTAGAGAAAACATTTTAAAGCTGCTTAGAAACACTCTGCAATTTCATTTCCCACTTTCCTCTCTCTACAGATGGCCTTTGCTTCCTATTTTATGTAAACAAATTGAAGTCATCCAACATGAGCTTCTGTGACTTCCAAATTTCCCAAGTCAAAAATCTGATTGCACCACCATATATCCACCCCTTCTTTCATCCTAATTCAAGAAAGAAATTATCTTCCTTCCGCTTGAGGCAAAATCTGCCACTTGAATTCTCACAGAACTATGCTCCATCAGCTAATCTGCTCTGCTCTCACCTTCAACTTCTCCCTGTCCATCAGACACAACCTACAAACCTCCGAACGTGGCTCACGTGGTCTCTACCTCTAAAAGACGATTTTCCCCTTGATGTTATCTTTTCCTTTAAAAAATTTTTTTTTGCTTGTGATTCTTCCAAGCAATGATCTTGCCTTTTCTATTCTCCTAGTTCTCCTCTTTCTCTGAATGTTCTTTCACTGGCCCTCCTCTATACTCCTTGCTCGTGTTCTCTGACGTAGTGTTCCTCCACACTCTGTCCTTGCCATTCATGTTCTTTCCAGTTTCTTCTTTTGGTGTCTCATCCCAACAACACCTTAGACAAGAAAGGATTAGCCCATGTCTCTGGCCCTGACCTCTACCTTGGAATGCCAGCCTCAGGGAAATTGACCACGTTAACCATGGATCCTCAGATCTGAAAAGCACTTCATCTATATAATAAACTTAGTATGAAACAGGCATTGTGCACATTTCTAAAAAAATATGTGTGTGCAGGTCTATACATATTCCTCACAGCAGCCATATCAGGTAGGTATATAACTATTATTAGAATCTCCATTTTACAGAATCTGAGGCCCAGAGAGAATAAATAATACGTTCAAAGTTAAAAAGGTTTCTGAAAAGCTGAACCCAGCAAACAGAGCTCTAAAATCTCTGCTCTCAATCGCTATAACAACCACCTTTTTTCTTTTCTTTTTTTAATTATTTTGAGCCAGAATCTCTCACTCTGTTGCCTGGGCTGGAATGCCATGGTGTCAGCCTAGCTCACAGCAACCTCAAACTCCTGGGCTCAAGTGATCCTCCTGCCTCAGCCTCCCAAGTAGCTGGGACTACAGGCATGCGCCACCATGACCGGCTAATTTTTTCTACTTTTAGTTGTTTGGCTAATTTCTTTCTATTTATAGTAGAGACGGGGTCTCACTCTTGCTCAGGCTGGTCTCAAACTCCTGAGCTCAAGTAATCCTCCTACCTCAGCCTCCCAAAGTGCTAGGATTACAGGCGTGAGCTACTTCGCCTGGCCAGTGGTTTTTAGTATATTCACAGACACATGCAACCATTACCAGTTAGAGAACATTTTCATCACCTCAAAAAGAAACCTGTGCCCTTCAGCTATCCTGCCCATGCCCTCATTCCAGCACACCTCTCACCAAGCCCTAAGCAACCACTACGTGCTGGCTATCGCTATAGATTTCCCTAGAGATTTCTATTCTGGACTTTCGCATAAATGGAATCATATCATACACTGACTTTTTGGACTTGCTTTTTCATTTATGTTTTCACTTTTCATCTAAGTTGCAGTATGATTAGTATTTCATTCCTTTTTATTGCTAAATAATATTCTATGGTATACCACATTTTGCTTATCCATTCATCAGCTGATAGAGACTTGTGTTGTTTCCGTTTTTTGGCTATTATGAGTAATGCTGCTATAAACATTCCTGTACACGTTTTTATATGGACATACATTTCCATTTCTCTTGGGTACATATTAATACCTAGAATTGCTGGGTCATATAGTAACTCTATGTTTAACTTTTTGAAGAACTGCCAGACTATTTTCCACAGTGGCTGCATCATTTTACATTCACACCAGCAGCGTATGAGGGTTCCAGTTTCTCTATATCTTTGTTAACACTTATTATTATCCAACTTTTTGATTCTAGCTATCCTAGTGGGTGGTACTGCATGGTGTTGATATGCATTTCCCTGATGACTAAGGATACTGAGCATTTTTTCGTGTGTTTATTGGAGACTTGTATATCTTCCTTGGAGGACTGTCTATTCATATCCTTTATCCATTGTTTATTTGGGATGTCTTTTTACCACTGAGCCATACGATTCTTTATATATTCTGGGTACGTGAACTTTGTCAGATACAAGATGTGCACATACTGACACGGAAAATGTCGGGCGCTGGGACACAGCCGCTTGCCGCATCTCCGCGGGCCAGCGCTGCGGCAGGGAGGCCTGTTTCCCGGCAGTGCTGCTTGCGTGATCCTGATTGGGTAATTTTTGAATTCTACTGTTGTTGATTGGATGTTAAAGCTTGTTGCTGATTGGATGTTAAAGCTTGATGCTGATTGGATGTTAAAGCTTGTAGTTGATTGGACACTTTTTGAGCCCTACCAAGAGTATAAAAGCAGGAGGAGACCAAGGAAGAGGGGTCAGAAGATCAGAAGACACGAAGTGTGCGCTGTAACATGTGCTGGGTTGAGCCTGCTGGAAGAATAAAGGCTGTTCTCCGTGTGCCACTCGGTTCTTTCCCCGGTCAAGAGCTGTACACGTTGCTGCAACAATATGTCCTCCCATTCTTTGGGTTGTCTTTTCCCTCTCTTGATGGTGTCCTTTGACTCACAAAAGTTTTTAATTTTGATGTGGCCAATTTATCTATTGTTTTTACTTTTAATTTTTTGGCTACTTGTGCTTTTGGTATCCTATCTAAGAATCTTTTGCCAAGCCTAAGATCAAGAAGACTTAGCCTTATGTTTTTTTCCTAAGAGTTCTATAGTTTCAGCTCTTGCATTTAGGGGAGTGTTGCTATCTTAACAATGTAAAGCATTACAATATATGAACATGGGATATTTTTCCAATTATTTTGATCTCTTTTAATTTCTCTCAACAGTGTTTTATAGTTTTCAGAGTTTAGGTTTTCCATTTCTTTTGTTAAATTTATTCCCAAGTATTTTATTTTTTGATGCTATTATGAATAAAATTATTTTCTTAATTTCAGTTTTAGGTTGCTAACTATAAGCATATAAAAATAAAACTGATTTTATGTTGATATGTATTCTGCAGCCTTATTAAACTCATACATTAGTTCTAATAGCTTTTGAGTGGATTCCTTAAGATTTTCTATAATAAAATCATGTTGTCTGCAAATAGAGTTTTCCTTCTTCTTTTCCAATCGTATTTCTTTTGTGCCTAACTGCCCTGGCTAGAACCTCAAGTTGCATGGAAGTGGTAAGAGCAGACGGCCTTGTTTTGTTCCTGATTTGAGCAGGAAAGCATCCTGTCTTTCACCAGTAAGCATGGTATTTATTACTTGTGGGATTTCAGCTGGTGCTCTTGTATCCAGTTGAGGTAGTTCCCTTTTATTCCTAGTTTGCTAAGTATTTTTATCATGCAAGGTGATGGATTTTTGTCAAATGCTTCTATGAGATGATCATGCAATGATGTTTTTTATTCTATTTATGTAATTTTCAGATGTTTAATCAACTTTGCATTCCTGAGATAAATGCCAGTTGATTATGGTGATAATTCTTTTTATAAGTTGCTAAATTTAGTTTGCTGGTGTTTTGTTGAGGATTTTTGCATGTATAATCACAAAAAATACTGTTTTATAGTTTTGTTTTCTTGAGAAGACTTTGGTTTTATATCAGGGTAATACTGGCATCATAAAATGAGTTGAGAAGTCTTCACCCCTCTTTTACTTTTTGGGAGACATTGTGAAATATTGGTATTAATTCTTTAGAT